CTCCGCCCGCCTCGGCCTCCCAGGGTGCTAGATTACAGGCGGAGCCACCACGCCTGGCCTATAGAGAGTCTTTGAAATGTATATTTTATGTGTATATATTAATATATACAAGGCTTCCCCCTTTTTGTTTGTTTAATGATTGTAAGTAGAGTCTGCAAAAATAAAACAATATACTATGCCAACCTACTACTTACACAAATATCTACTCGTATCTGCTGATCAAGAAATCTATCTCAGACCCAGGTAATCCAAGAAATCACACACATATCACACCACAGCGTACTCTACAAGATAACTGTTACTATAATCTGCCATGCTCTTATGACACCCACAGACAACATACCAAAAAATTTCAATGATCATTAAACAAATCTACCGTCATTAATCATCTGAATTAAGGTACACGACACCCATGAGGAAGATTTTCCTATACAAACTGACGAAAAAGCTCAGTCATAAACACCAAACCACCACATACACAAAGCAATCAGAAACATAGCCCATACTTTCACTAAAACATGACACAAACAACCAATACTGGCACTCTGTAGGTAATTCATAAACCTGATCAACAAAACTAACACCTACATTCCTGCAACCCAGAACCAGCCCCACACCTCGAGGTACATGTAGCCTACAACGCTCCTACCACAGCATATATTATTACTAAAACTTTGCTATCCCTGAAGACAAGCATTACCTTGAGAGTAAAGGTGGACATTAGTCCTAACAGGCATGTTACGGAGAGGAGATAAAAACAAGACAACAATAATAAACGGACTCCACGACCAGCATCTGGCAAGAGATACGAGGTCATCTAGTTAAGGGATACATAAAAGATAAGCTAAGGAGCAATGATCTCTCATATATTTATATTTAAATTCTATTCAGAGCATATAATTAATGGGGGAGGAGTACAGATTTTAAGGTTTCCATAAATGCCCATTTACCCACCCTACAACAACACCACCAACTTATGATCACTACCAGCATCAATCATACACCCAGATGGATGCAACATCACAAATTATCATATATAGTAAATAAGAAAAATAACAAACATAAACATAGTATCCCGATAAATTCTAATTATAATATACCCACCCCCCAATTGGCCAAAGCTATTAATTATTCTATTCTCATAACCAATCACCATCTATCTCTTCCTCACACCACACAGACCACTGAGGCTCTCATATCGCACTCATAACCAAATCCTAACTTGACTTTCTATTCACTGTATTACATTATGTATTATATATATAAATAAAAAATCCATAAGTGAATGAAATGTCAACATCACTAAACGTTCTAAAAATCGAAAAAAACCATCCGCGCCATATCTGAGACTAACATTTATCAGAAGAACACAAAAGCAAAATTATAGAGTACGGTAAAACACTTAAAGAAGAGAAAGATTATATAGCTGCGAATCATTTACTTGCCTATGTGGCACATCAGAACGATTATCATCCCTTCCCAATGACAAAATGTCATTCGATACCAGTATTATACCACCAACAAATATTTCTGGCTTTCCCCAAAGCTCATAACAAAATTGGAAAAATTCTACAAAGTCTCTTAATATTCACGAAACTAATCTATAAATTCTATAGAAATAACTACCTCAGCCAATAAACACACGAGCTAGAAACGATACAGAATGAAGAAAAAAGTATACTTACTTCTATTTCAAAACATAAAGAACAGAAAATCAAATATTCCTTTGCGAATTTAAAAACATTTTCTCCCATAACACCCAACAGCCCACAGTATCATATGAGAACACAGCCCTAAAAAGGTAACCAGAGGGAACGTTACCGAGTAAGATTAAGTGTATAATTTCATAAACATAAACACGTAAGTACCCCCAAATGTTGTTAACAAAAGTTAATATTAACAGCACTGACCAGTCTGTATCTAAATCATATTTCCACAGCCAAAAACAAGCAATTTTTAACCATTCTCCATTCTTCAACCTACCGACCACTACAGTACACTTTCATAATCCAAAAAAGGACAAAAAGATACGTAAGGAAACCAAAAATGCCCAGGCAATATCAGCAACGCAGCAAGACATAAGAATCCTCTACATGCCGCATGATAAATAACACATATACACTCTGGCAGATTAGATAGATGATCATCTTTCTGTTTAAACAAACAGAATACTGTAGGACTATCCACAGGGAACAATACCCTCCATATAACATTTAAGATTCAATACTTACACTATCGTGCTAAAATGAATCATGCTAACATGCGCGCTCTATCAAACAAAAAGCAATAAAGCTATTACATTTCCACAATGTTACCTCTAGCACTACGCAAAATGACCACTTACAACAAAAGAAACATGAGAGAACAGCAAATGAACAAACTATGGTAAGTGCCCGATCTACAAATCAAAAAACGACATATAATAATTACGTTCTAGTATATTTATGCCGTAACTACTCTACCAGGCATACGAATCGATCTGTAAGTTATTTCATTCACGCCAAAACAACATCACACCTGGAGTATAGGAGAACCCCTGAGGCTAAGCAAAGATTACCATGAGGCCATAAACAAACACCACATTCGAGTAGACCTTGTCACTGCTCTATGAAAGTCAACAACACACCAGCAAAGTGCCTTTTCCGTCCCCAGATCCGCGACATTCAAAGATCTATGTATACCATCGTCAACTGGATAGAACACACAAGCATCCACCAATCCACTATCACATCACCCTTATCCTACGACTTCTTCTGCTCCATCTCAGCACCTATTTTAAATGCACCCCTTAACACCAATACTTATTTATCTATTATCAAACAATCAATTTATAATGGGGCAGCAAGATGCCAAAAGGATCAAACCTTCTAGTATCTATGAAAGCTAATGCTTGAAATAACTGAAATTCATCATGAACTGTGAAGAATCTAAAT